CCCAGCTGCTCCTCGGCGGGGCGCAATGCACGTCATAGCAGCGCACCGCGTCGCTCTATGAACCGAGCATGCTGGCGTGGAGCTCGGATGTCCATCTGTCCACCTCGCGCCCCATCTCCTGCGCACAAAAGGCTGAGGTCGCTCCGCCGTTGATCTCGCGGCCGCCAGGCCAACGAAACGCGAAGCGTTTGTGGGCTACGCCTGTCTCCGCAAACCCATTGTTGGACTGCGTGCGTTGCAGGCCGAGCAGGGCAGGGAGATCGAAGCCGTCGCCCTCCAGCGCTGGATCGCGCATGCCGCGCTGCGTGGTCACGCCGTCGCGGGTGGTCACCGCTATGGGGCAGCGTACTTCCCAATGTGCAGTCTGCGAGCCGTCGTGACACGTAGAGCGGCCTCCTGCAACTTGTCGGCCAAGTTGAAAGGGAAAATCAATCCTCATGGGTTGGCCAAGGCGCTGGCGTCGACGATGGCGCCTAACGGGCCGCCCAGGAGGTCGGTGCTCGCTAGGCAGCACGGAGAGTCGGACAAAGAACCCGCACCTGCACCTGAGGATGTAGGAACGGAAGAAGGCGCATGCAGGTCTAGATGCGCGTCGCAAAGTACCGCCACGTCAGCGGCGGAAATGAAGCTGGACGCGCTGCCTGGTGACCGCATGAGGTCTTGCCGGGGTGCCCCTGGAGTTGGCGCATGCCCAAGAGACTGGGCGCGGCCCTGCCGCGGCGGAGTCTCCCGGAGCACGTCGTTGCTTGATGCTGAGCGGACCTGCGCCACTGGCGCGGGGCCCGCCGGATCAAGAACTGCCGCGCGGGCCGACGACAGTCGCCGGAGCCTAGCATCGCGGCCTGCACACATGAAGCAGAAGTCGGCGATGACACCCGAAGGTCCCCGACACGCGGGGCAGCGCGCCACGTGGGCGTCGGACGCCCGCATGCTGTAGACGGCATGCCTGGGCCAAGATGCGGCGGCACTGTGGGTGCCCCCCTCGGTCGCACAGGAAAAGGGCTTCCCAGTCTTCGCCGTTGAAGACTGACGCGGGGCGCAGCGAGTGCGGCAGCTGACGCAGGAGGTGGATCAGTGGGGGTTATGTCCATGTCTGTGCGGCTCGTCTTCGCTGCTCGTCATGTTGTCGTAAGATCTCTGGTGCAGTCTGGGTTATATGTCTAGATCGTCTAAGTGTCGTCGTCGCGCGTGGTCGAGCGCGGCGCCCACTCTGCGTTCGGATTGGCTGCCGCTTGACGTCCAGGTGTCACGGCCAGCGAACCGCATGACCACTCTCCCAGATGGCTGGCTCACGTCGACGGCGACGTGCTGACGCAGCAGAGCCAGGTCGTCGGGGGACTCCAGCGCCGGCGGTGACGCGGCTATCGGCGCGGACTGCGGCGCCGCATGGAGCTCGATCCATATGGCGCGCTGACGCCGAAGGCTTCGACTGATGGCGCGCAAGCCCAGCTCGGCAACCGCACGTCGGCAGGCGGGGTCGCAGGCGCGGCGACGTGGGCGCTAATGTCGCTCACCCAGTCGCGCCTTGCTGCTGCCCCAGCGGGATGGCACCGACCACTTTGATCCGGCGCGGTGGCGTCGGCGGTGGCGGTGCTGCTGCTGCGGCTGGAGCTGCGGGAGCTGCAGGTGCTGCAGTTCCCACTCCTGCCTTGCAGGCCGGCGACATGGTTGCCGCGCTCAGAAGTTGAGAAGAGCCTTGACGCGCGGCACACTAGGACGCCCATGTCCTGACGTTGTCGCCGTAGCTCTGCCTCGCTGGGGTTTGGGGAGGACGATGGCTCGACCAATGGCTGCGAACCACCGCCTGCCACGAACCGTCGGATGAGGCACTCGGTGCTGGTGCTGGCGCTGGCCGCGTCGACGCCGATCCTGGAGTCGGCCGTCCCGGGGACCGGCGCTCTGCATGGGGCATGGGAACACCACTGTCGGGCCCCCGAACCAAAGGTTGGGGAATCCCTGAAGTGCCCCTGGTCACCCGGACCGCGTCTGCGCCTGGCACCGGCTGTTTAGCTGCTGGCAGGCGCTACTTGATGTCCAAGGTGCGTAAGTGGTGAGGATATCGGCGATAGCGGCGGCGCTGCTGGGGCTGGCGCGCCACGGGGGAAGGCGCGCCCACGCTGCCGGCGCCGGGCGCAATCGCGCACGAGGTGCTAATTGGAGTCACACTCGTGGTACCTCAGACGTATCCCGTCCGGACCAGGTGGTTTGCTTTGCCGGCCAAATCCCATGCCGCTGGCCCTGTGATTGCCCTTTCCAAAGCCCTCGAAGTCTCCCGGAGGTCGCTAACTGACGCGTCGACCAGGCAGTCGCGGTAGCCCACGACCTGGCCCGTCGCCCTTTCGCTCGATGACCCCCCTGACACAGCGCGCGGGCCTGTTGGCGTTGAAGCGGCGGCATTGGGACTTGGCGCGCTCGCGAGCCCAGAAGCGCGCGCCGCGTTGCCCCGCAAGAACGCCGCGAATCTCGGGGTCGTCGGCAGCAACGTCTTCGCCGAATGGGCTGACGGTGTCGGAATCGGTGCCCGACTCTGCATATGTTACTGGGCGCGCCACCAGCGCTGGCGTTGCCGCGCCTGGGTCGGCCACGGATGCAGCTGCAGGGGGGATCGGGGCCGCCGCCAGAGCAGCGGGTCCCATGCCGCCCCAGCTCGACCCAGCCGCAGTGCCGCAATATGAACTCTGAGCCTGATCCCGCGCGGGCGCACCCCCGCGGAAGGTCCGCGTTGGGGCGAATGCGCGGCCGAAGCGAGATTTCCTGGAGAGCCCTCGATCTCTTGCCCAAGCCTGCGCGGCTGGCTCATCGCGCGCATCGGCTGCTGCGCGCCCGCAGGGCAGGCCACGTCGCGGCGCTGCGAGACCGCGGCGAACTGAACATTCGAGACACCGCGCGGCAAAAAAAAAAACTGCGACCCTCGAAGCCGATCATGAGTTGGCCGGCTCGCTGCGACTCGTTGCGGAGGATGTCGAACCCAGCGAGGACGTTGTCGATGCGCTCTCGCGGCAGTCGGTTGTCTGCGCGCGCTCCCCCCCCGAGCTGGTCCCGCTATTCGGCCAGGCTGCGCGCGGGGGAGGTCATGGGCGGCGCTGGGTCGCCGGTGATATGACCTCCTTGGATCAGGACAGCGGGCGGCCAGTAGTCTACGCACCCGCGCTCCGTGCCAGTCAAGCACGACGAGACGCAGCCCGCCTAGCGGAAATCTTTGAGGTCGGAGTTCGCCACTGACCAGATCATGACCTCCAGCGTCCAGCGTTGAAGAGCACGCGGGCTTGCTCCTCGGGCCCCCAGGTACCGAGGTGTCGCACGTCGCCGCCAACACCGCCGCTGGCGTCCATGCAGACGATGCAACAGGCGGCTGCGATCATGCAAATTCCGATGGCCTTCTATCCGGAGCGGAATCCCTGGAGCCCTGGAATCCACCAACGACGGTGCTCAGGTGGAGACCCTCGGAGCCGTCGTGGGTGTCGTTCCCTTGTACACATTTCCTCGTCAACGCATTGGGTCTTCTCTTCTGTCGCATGATTGGTGCGCGAACGGTACTCGGAGCACCCCGCAACATACTTGCGGGAGAACTCGCCGTGCGTCGAGTTGCACAAGTAATGGGCACCACCATCTGCATGATAGTCACAAGGAGTCTGCATAGGGATCCAGGTCTACCAGGTAGCAGGGAGTGCGTGAGTAATGGGGGATCGACAACGTATGTTCCCAGACACGTTGCGTAGTCCCCTGGCGGGCCGACAACATAGTCCACGATCCCTCCATTTTCTTCTCGCTACTTACTGCCTGTGCCAGGTGCCACCCCCGGCTTCCGCAACATAGTCGCGGACAGCTCGGGGCTCTTCGCCAACACCATTGATGTGAACGTCGGATCAACTGACTGTCTGCCATCCGCGGCTACACCCATAGGCGGATGCAATGGATCCGTTGTGTCGGAAACATATTCCCCCAGGCTCCTGCAACGCAGTCGCGTTGTAACTCGGGACCCGCCGCCATTGCCAGAAACGTGAGCCCTGTATCCATCAATGGCTTGACGACGGCGGCTACACCCACAAAACGGTGTCATGGTGGGGTGGGGTCCGCGAGCTGCCCGAACGCAGTTTGGGCCAGCCCAACAGAAGGAGCAGCCGGGGCGGGCGCGCGGCCTCTGATGTGGGAAACGATGATGTCCTTGTGGTAATTATGGGTGCTCCTCTCCCGTCGCGATGAACAGGACGAAGAGCGAAGACGGCCCTGCACGCGGAGGGCGCGGCAGGGGAACTATGACGGCGGCCTCGACATTGCCGGCAGGGCAGCGAAGCCGGCACCACGGCGGCGGGACGCCGTGGTCGCAGAGACGAAGCCCCGCTACCAGCTAAGAGTAAAGGTTAAAGTGATGGGCCTGTTTTCCACCACCACCACCATAACTTGGAGGTGGGAAGGAGGAGGACGAGGAGGAGGACGAGGAGGAGGAGGAGGAAGAGGAGGAGGAGATGGAGGAGGAGGACCCCCTCCCCCTCCAACTTATGGTGGTGGTGGTGGAAAACAAGCCCATCATAAAGGGTGGAAACGCACTCTTGAGACAGCGACTGTGTACGAGGGGTATGATGTGTCCAACGCAGATAGGACGGGCACGGCAACTTATCACTGCCCGTACCCCCGAGGCAGGCGGCAGCGGAAAAAGAGACGATTCAGACAGGCAGTCAGGACAGTGTACAAGATGTACCGCTCGAGTGAGCGAGCAGGGGGGAACGAGGAGGACGACGACGAGGCGGAGAGGAAGAGGAAGAGATGGAGGAGATGGAGGAGAAGGAGGAGCAAATAGCAGGAACGAGCAGGAAGGCGACGAGATGGCGACCCCGACGGCGACGGCGACAACCACCACCACGGCGGCGACGACGACGACGACGACGGCGGTGACGACGGCGACTGCGGCGACGGCGGCGACGTCGGCGACGGCGGCTGCGGCGGCGGCAGCGGCGACGGCGGCGGCGAGGGCGAGGCCGCCTTTTCTCCGAGGGCGGCGTTTAGAAACTCTCTCTCGGGGCGCGTCGCCCAGCGGCGCGGCGGGGCCTCGCGCGGGACGCCTCCGCAAGAGGCCCTCCTGGAGGGAGCAGGGGGGAGGAGGGGGAGGAGGGAGGAGGAGGAGGAGGAGGAGGAGGAGGAGGAGGAGGAGGAGGAGGAGGAAGGGGAGGAGGAGGAGGAGGGGGAGGAGGAGGGGAGGAGGAGGAGGAGGAGGAGGAGGAGGAGAAGGAGGAGGAGGAGGAGGAGGAGGAGGAGGAGGAGGAGGAAGGGGAGGAGGAGGAGGAGGAGGAGGCGGAGGAGGCGGATGAGGAGGAGGGGGAGGAGAGAGGAAGGGAGGGAGGGGGAGGAGGAGGGGGGACAAGAGACATGGGGGCCAGGGAGGAGCGCGGAGGGAAGGTGCCCTGGAAGTGTTGGCTCAACACAGCGACTGCAGAGCAGAGGGGGGGAGAGGGAGAGGAGCAACCGAGTGCCGAGACCAGGTGCCCTCGGCCCAAGCTGCAGAGCGGGGGGAGGGGGGAGGAGCTGGGAGGCGGGAGGAGGCAGCAGGAGTGGGAGGAGGAGAGGAGGCGGCAGGAGGGCAACGGGTGAGGAGCGAGGGTGGGAGGAGGGGGAGCGAGACGACTGGGGCTGGAGGGCCTCGAGCGGAGGACGTCCGCGAATCGGAAACGTGACGAGGCTCGCCCAGGGCGGCGCTCTGTACCCAACGGCGTTGAAGCGGGCAGGATCGGAGGGAAGCGGAGGAGCAAGACTCAGGTCGGACGAAAGGGAGTGGTGAAGCGGGCAGGATCGGAGGGAAGCGGAGGAGCAAGACTCAGGTCGGACGAAAGGGAGTGGAAGCAGAGGTTGGGGTTATTGAATCCGCTCGTGTGGTTGGTTATCCTGGCGCCGGAGGAACATGCCCGGCGGCGGGCGCGCAACCAGCTGCTTGCAGCGAATTTCGTAGCCGCACGTTACCACATCCCTTCCTTTCGTCCGACCCGAAAAGAAGCTCGGGGAAGAGAAACGACGGACCCTCCAGTGGCGTGCTAGGCCCTCCTGGCCAATCCTCCGAGGGCGTAATCACAAGTGCGAGGGCCAGATTGGGCCTTCCAAAAACATCGGCAGCCTGGAGGACGAGAATCTAGAAGGGAGGGAAAAACATACAGAATGGTGGTGGAACCTTCCTTTTGGAGGTATTCGATACTTTGGTGGCTGGGACTGGAGATATGGTCTAGTTTAAGACGAAGCAAGATGAGTAACACTCGGGATGATGGCATGTTAGCCGGCGTGGGCCCCAAGCAGTGTGTTTCTGGGAATACCTGTGGTGCTATCTATGTGGAGCTATCTGCGTGGTGTATATCGATGTCGCGCAATACGTGTGGTGCAACCTACGATATGCACTACATGTGCGGCAATGCATGAGGCGTATTCTATGTGGTGCAATCAGTACGATGCCAATTATGTGGAGCGATCTAGGTGGTGCAATCAATGTTGTAGAATCGGTGTTGTGCAACATCCATGTGGTACAAACTATGTTGTGCAAAACATGTTGTGCAGTATATGTTGGGCAAACAATGCGGTGCAATGTATGTGGTGTTAACTATGTTCTGCAACCTACGTTGCGCAACACATGTGGTGCAACCAATGTATTGCAATACATATGGTGCGATGTGCAGTTTATGCGGAGCAATCTATGTGGTGCAACCTATGTGGTGCAATCTCCATGTGGTGCAATTTATGTGGAGCATATGCCGTGCAATCAATGTGGTGCAGTCTATAGTGTGCAATATATGTGGTGTAATGCAATATGTGCGGTGCAATTAATGTTGTGCAATGTGCTACCTACGTGGAGCAATACATATATATGGTGCAACCTATTTGGTGCAATCTCCATGTGCGATTCATGAGGAGCAAATGATGTCGTACAATAGATGTTGTACAATCTATGCTACGCATTATGTATTGTGGAACCTTTATGATGCAATAGAAATGGTGCAGTCTATGTGGTGTAACATGTGCGGTGCAATACATGTTGAGCAAGCTATGTGGTGCAATCAATGTTGTACAATGCGCATTTAATGTGAATACAAATGTGTGGTGCAATCTATGTGGTGCAATCTCCATGTGGTGCAATGTATGTGAAGCAACATGTCGTGCAGCACACGTTGTGCAGTAGATGCTGTGCAGTATCTGTTGTGCAATCGATGCGGTGCCATATATAAGTGGTGCAGCCTGTGCGGTGCAACACGTGTGGTGCAATATATATATATAGATAGATAGATAGATAGATATATGTATATATATATATATATATATATATATGTCGAGAAATCGATGTGGATCCATCTATGTTGTGAAATCGACATGGAGCAATATCTGTGGTGCAATCTATGTTTTGGACGCCCGAAATGGGTACGGAAAAAATGGGTACAATGCCCAACAACAAATGTTGTCCCAAGCCAACAGCGGCCGCTGTTGGGCAGGCGGCCTTCTGTCTCGAATGGACACAGGCCGCGGCGGCGTGGACAGCGAGTCCTGTTCAAAATGAACAGGAACTGCTGTTGGGCATCGTACCCATTCTTTCAGTACCCATTTCGGGCGTGCAGAATGGAGCAACATCTGTGGTGCAATCCATGTGGAGCAACCTGTGTGGCGGCCGCGAGGCGGCGATGGGGCGGCGACCGCGGCGACCGCAGCCGCCGGAGCGGCAGGCCCAGACGACGGGCGGCGAAGAGGCGGCGGCGGCCCCGACATGTAGCCGCCGGGGCCGGCAGACAGGCCCAGACGACGGGCGGCGACGAGGCGGCGACGGGGCGGCGACTGCGGCAACATACTCCTCCTCCTCCTCCTCCTCTCCTCCTCCTCCTCCTCCCTCCTCCTCCTTCCTCCTCCTCCTCTCCTCCTCCTCCTCCTCCTCCTCCTCCTCCTCCTCCCCCCCCCTCCCCTGGGTCCAAGAGCATGTCGGGCCTGTCCCCCCACAGGGGGATTTTCGACGAAAAATAAAAAAATACTCCAAAAATACTGCAGATTTCGTAAGAAAGGGAGGGGGTCTCATTTCGGGGGGGGGGTCTCTTCCAGGCTATCTTGGAGGGCCTGGGGGGTCTGGGGACGATGTTTTGGAGGGTTCTCCCACGGGGGAGGTCTGAAACGGCTTGTCTTGGAGGGGCCAGACCCCCTCCCTTTTATTACGAAATCTAGAGTAGCTAACAGAGCGGCAGACAGGCGCAGTTCCTTGGAGCAGAAGTGAAGACACCTGAGTGCAAGCGACGTTGGTGGAGAAACCTAGAGAATCTCTGGCAGCGAGCGGGCCTGGGGGATGCATCGGGCGCCGAGGTCGCTCCAGAACACTCCAGAACGCTCGGAGAGCGCTCCAGAACGCTTTTGGAGCGAGTCATCCCCATCCCAGGCGAGTGGAGCCGAACGAGGGCGACCGGCACAGGGGGAGGAACAATGATCCGGCATCGACGATACGTCGCAGAGAGGTCGACGACGGGCCCCCGACGGGAAGCCCCCATGTTCCTAAGCAGAGTGGGGCACCCAGGCCCCGATCTGCGAGGAACGGGCGATTGGGGTGTGCCTCCCCCGTGGAGATGCCCAGAACGCTATGCATTCCACCGTGGAGAACCGAGACACGAGGAGGATTAGTAGGCAGGCGGATGTCGTCACGTGATGCGAACTTCCCTCCCCCACCTCATCATCATCATCCTCTCTATCCCCCCCTCCTCCTACTCCTCCTCACATTCGCATCACGTGACGGACCCAAGTCGCCGAATCGGGTACTCCAGATTCCATAATAGAAGTGGGGGGGGTCACATTGGGGGGGGTCTGATTTGACCTGTCTTGGAGGGTTCGGGGGGTCTGGGCAAAGGGCCGCCCTTGCATGGATGGTCTGGGGGGGCCTAAAACTTCTCGTCTGGGAGGGTTGTGACCCTAAAACAGGGCTAGGATCGGGATAAATCGCTCCAGAGCGTTCCGGAGCGCTCTCAGAGCGTTCGGGAACGCTCTGGAGCGGCCACGGCGCCCAATACATCCTCCAAACCCGCCGATTCTCAGAGATTTCGAGTTATCCCGATCCGATTTTGTCCCGATCTTCGCGTCGTTTTAGACCCCCTCCCTTTTATCACGAAAACTGGAGTACCCCTCCAAAGCTGGCAGACATGAGCTGGATCGCATCGCAGAACCGGACCGGACCGGAAACGCATCGGATCGGCAGCGACCCGTCCCGCATCGGACCGCCATCGGATCGCCGCGCCCAGCTGGCCCTGACCGAGGCCAGTGACTCGAGACGACTCGAGTCGATTCGGAGCCTCCCGCCTCCTCCTCCTCCTCCTCCTCCTCCTCCTCAATCCCTCCTCCCTCCCCTCTCCCTCCTCTCCTCCTCCTCCCTCCTCCTCCTCCTCCTCCTCCTCCTCCTCCTCCTCCCCCCCCTCCTCCTCCCCCCGTCCTCCTCCTCCTCCTCCTCCTCCTCCTCCTCCTCCTCCTCCTCCTCCTCCTCCTGCCAGTGGCCCTGGCCAGCGCATGGACTCGCAGCGGATCGGACCACGGGCGGCCCTGGCTGGGGCTGTGTTCTGAACCCCCCCCGGTCGGCCAGGCTGCAGGCCTTGACGGGCGTGTTTTCCACCACCACCACCACCATAAGTTGGAGGAGGGGGGGGTCCCCTCCTCCTCGTTCTCTCTCCTCCTCTCCTCCTCCTCCTCCTCCTCCTCCTCCTCCTCCTCCTCCTCCTCCTCCCCCTCCAACTTCTGGTGGTGGTGGTGGTGGAAAACAGGCTCAGCAGGCCTGCCCCCGTGCCGGGACTGGCGCACCCGGGCACGCAGAGGCCGGAGGCCTCCGCAGAATTGGGCGCCCGAGTTATCCGGGGTAACTCGGGTCCGGGGTAACTCGGGTTGGGATTCCCGAAAAAGGAACCCGAGTTAGCCCTGACCCGAGTTACCCCGGATGATGTGGGGCTCTGGACGCCCGAATTATCCGGGGTAGCTCGGGTCCGGGGTAAGTCGGGTTGGGATTCCCGAAAAAGGGACCCGAGTTACCCCTGATGATGTGGGGCTCTGGACGCCCGAATTATCCGGGGTAACTCGGGTCTGGGGTAAGTCGGGTTGGGATTCCCGAAAAAGGAACCCGAGTTAGCCCTGACCCGAGTTACCCCTGATGATGTGGGGCTCTGGACGCCCGAATTATCCGGGGTAACTCGGGTCTGGGGTAAGTCGGGTTGGGATTCCCGAAAAAAAAGGAACCCGAGTTAGCCCTGACCCGAGTTACCCCTGATGATGTGGGGCTCTTACAGAAGACGGAGACGGAGGCAGACGAGGAGCCCTGGGCCGCGCTGGAGCCCCGATGCACCGACGGTGCACCGATGATGGCGCCGGTGAGTGGAGACCGTCGCAGAAGGCGCTGACATGGCGCGCCGACGCCGGCCCTGGCAGAAGGGCGCCGACAGTGCGCCTGCACCAGTCCTGGCCTCCCCAAGCGCGGGGACGGAGGCAGACGAGGGGCCCGGGGCCGCGCTGGATCGCCGATGCACTGGCGATGCACCGACGGTGGCGCCGATGTGGAGGGCGCCAGGGCTCGGACAGGAGGGCGCCAGCCACACACACACCTGCACCGGCCCTGGCCAGGCCCACCCGGGGCCCTCGGCGCACGCGTCCTCCCAGTGTGGCCAGGAAGGCGCAGAGACGGCGGGTTCGTGTCGTGTCGACCCAGGCGTTGGTTCCTGACACCGCGGGGATCGTTCAACCTTGAACGATCGGCCATTTCCGCAACGTCCAATCGTTCAACATCGAACGATTCTGGGCCGCCGCCGGCGTTCAACGTTGAACGCCGGCGGCGGGGTCGCCGCCGGTCGACACGACACGACCCTACCGTACACACACACACACACACCAGTCCTGGACAAAAGGGCTGGTCTGGCCAGGGCCGGCAGTTGGCGACCTGCGATCTGGGTCACGCCGTACCGCGGACGCCGTGTCTGGAGATGGGCCTGGGGGAGAGGACCCAGAGGATCAACAGCAAGTTCTGAAGCCCTCTCCTTCCATTCTGCAAGCTCCTGCCCCGAGAAAGGGGGCCCGACCCCCCCCCCCCAGCTTAGAGGGTCTTCGATCATCCGAAAAGGGCGGGCGTGGCTGGCGCGCGAGCAGGGAGAGCAAAGGACACGCGTGGAACGGCGGCGCGCGGCACGCATTCAGCGTCGTTGGACCTATTCCCGTCCCCTGCGGGATAGCCTGGGGTCCCGCTGTCCGACCATTACCCCCCAAGGCGGGGATGCATGCCGTCTCCGTGGGGCTGCACTGCACCTGTCCCCACCTGGGGGTGGGGGGGGCAGGCTGGTGGCGCCAAGGAGCCTTGGCCCGCTGGGGACGGGGACCAGAACCGACGACGCTGAGCCGTGGCGCCGCAGACTGCAGTGCTCGGAGCACGTGACACTGCGGTGCTCGGCACAGGCCGCGGGCCCCGAGGAGGCTCTGGCGCACCACTCAACCCGCGTCATCATTTGCTGATGTCCAAACTGATCGTCGGCTGGAACTTGATCAGGGGTGGCTTGCAGATCTTTTTGCCCAGCGCGTGACGGGGCGGAGAGCCAGGAGGAGGAAAGGGTGGGACGACGGGTCGCGGGAGAGGGGTGGTAGCGAGACCCGCGACCGAGGGCAGCTGCGAGATCCTCGTCGGCCGTGGTTTATTGCAAATGAAACATTTGCATTATCCCAGTGCGACCCTACCTAGGAGTTGGAGCCTCTAGGAAAGCAACATTAGTAGGAGCGGTAAACGCCGTCCTCATCCTTCTCCTCAATAGTGGATGCTGTGCTGCGCTGTACTATGCTATGATATGCTATGCTATGCTATGCTATGCGAATGCTGCGCTGCGCTGCGCTGCGCTAAGCTAAGCTGAGCTATTCTAAGCTAAGCTAAGCTGAGCTGAGCTGAACTAAGCTAAGCTAAGCTAAGCTAAGCTAGGCTAGGCTAGGCTGAGCTAAGCTAAATTAAGCTAAGCTAAGCTAAGTTATGCTAAGCTAAGCTAAGCTAAGCTAGGCTAGGCTAGGCTAAGCTAAGCTAAGCTCAGGTAAGCTAAGCTAAGATGAGATAAGCAAAGCTAAGCTAAGCTATGATATGCTATGCTACGACATGATATGATATGCTGTGCTATGATTTGCTATGCTATGCTATGATGTGCTGCGCTATGCTATGCTATGATATACTGGATTATGCTATGCTATGCTGTGCTACGCTATGCTATGCTACGCTATGCTATGCTATGCTGTGCTCTGCTATGCTAAAGTTCAGCGAAGCTAAGATGAAGGTAAGCTAAGCTAAGATAAACCTGAGCTAAGATGAAGGTAAGCTAAGCTAAGACGAAATAAGCTAAGCTAAGATGAGATAAGCAGCGCTAAGCTAAGGGGACGTAACTGGGGGAACCGCGGGGCGGATCCTGGGGGAACCGCCCGGGGCGAGGCCCACTGCTCGGCACTTTAAGCACATAGAGTAAAAACCCTTCTAGGCAAAGCCTAGGTAGGGAAAAATCTCTACTGATCATGTTGATATGACGAGCCCAATGATTTGACTTGTGCATGGCGGATCGTTCCGTAGCCTCCCGCACCTCCCCGATCATCATTCCGCAATAATGAACTAAAACTCAAGATGCCGGAAAACTGATCTCGGGCCAAGAACGAACTGTGAGCAAACCACCTCCTCTACACCTCCATTATTACCATTCCAAATAATAATGGGCAGCAGTCCAGAAGTTTGTGGGTAAAACCTCAGCAAGTGCAGACCAAATGGCACGGATCTGTCCTAGTCAGCGAGCCCTGGTCTACAATCTCGCGGACAGACACGGCCAGAATCCCGGCAAAACTGTGAACCGCGGTCCAGCACTTCTCAAGTCCGCCGATCTGGCGTGTGAGGTCCAAAACGCCTAGCACACAGCCTTCAGAGCCTGAGCTTCAGCCCTCCTGGGGGGAGGAGGGCCGGAGGGGCTCTGCTGGGAAGGGGGCCCCCCTGCTGCGCCTGTGCTGCGCCTCTGCTCCGCGCTGCTCCGCTTTGCTCCGCTTTCTCGGGGGGGCCTCGGACACGCCAAAATGCACAACGTAAGACCTCTTAGGCTCTACACAATCGCTGAACGGGCGGGCTCAGACGCCCGAGGTGGCCTCCAGTCAGCGGCGCAAAAGCGCTCACAACGTCCCGAGAGGCCCCAAGAGCACTCCCAAGAGGGCGCCAAGAGGCAAAACACATGGACTCTCTCGGCCTTCACGACGCCCAAGACGCTCCAAAAAGTTCCTCTAAGACGGTCCCAGAGACCCCCGAACACCGCCCCGAGACGCCTCCAAGGAGGCCCCCAACCGCCCAATAGGCGCCCAAGACGGCCGAGGGAAGCCCCAAGACAGCGCCAAGAGGCCCTGGAGGGGGAGGCCTGGACCATTCATTTCTGCCCTCCGCCCCAAGATGCCCCCTCAAGGTCCCCAGAGGCCCCCCAGAGCCCCCAAGAAACTCCCAGGAGGCACCCAAGACACCCCAAGAAGCCCCCAAACGGCACCCAATAGGCTTCAAAACTGCCTCCAAAAAACCCGAGGGCCCTCCCACGACATCCCCACGAACATCTCAGATGCTTCATTATCACCCGTAGTGGCGGAATGAGCCAAGGCCATTCGATAATCCGCCGCCCCCTGTTGGCTTGCCACAGGGGTACCTGGCGTGCTGGATCCTTTCGGTCTTGGTTTTGACACTTTTCCAAAAGAACTCCCCCTGGGGCTCCAGCCCAGCCCGCTGGCCACCTGGAAGGGACCGCAAGGCGCGGAATTTGCAGAGACATGTTACCAAGATGGCTCAAAATTGCTTTCAAGACCGCCAAGACGGCCAAGATGGCCAAGATGGCCTCGAAGACGGCTGAGATGGCCCCAAGATGCTTCCAAGACGGCCCAAGACGGAGCCAAGACGGCCTAAGATAGCCTCAAGATGGCCCAAGACGGCCCAAGAGGCCTCCAAGAGGTCTCCAAGACGGCCCAAGAGGCCTCCAAGAGGACCTCCAGGAAAACCCGAAGAGACCAACATCATGGATTCTAGCATTTGCTTCTTTTCGGCTTCCCGACGGCCGAAGACGGCCCAAGAGCCCCCAAAAATCGCCCCAAGATCGCCCCAGAGGCCTCCAAGATGGTCCCAGAACGGCCCAAGAGGCTCCCAAAACCGGCCCAGGAGAGCTCGAAGACGGCCTCCAAGACGCCCAAGATGGCCTCCAAGACGGCCCTGGAGCACCCCAAGAGCGCTCCCAGTCGGTCCAGAGAGACCCCCAAGACAGCTTCCGACGGCGTCAGACGGGCCAGGAGCCCACCAAGACTGCCCAATATGGCTCTAAGATGGCCAAAGACGGCCCAAGAGGCCCCAAAGAGGCCCCTAAGACGGCCCAAGAGGCCTCCAAGAGGGCCTCCAGGAAGGCCCGACCGAAGAGACCATAATCATGGATGTTCTTTGGTTTTTGAAAGATCGTAGCATTTGCTTCTTTCGGCTTTCCAACGGCCCGAGACGACCCAAGAGCCCCGAAAGATCGCCCAAGAGCCTCCAGGATGGCCTCAGAACGGCCCAAGAGGCCCCCAGGGCGGCCCCACGAGGGCCCCCAGACGGCCCAAGAGGCCTCCAAGACGCCCAAGATGGCCTCCAAGACGGCCCTGAGCACCCCAAGAGGGTTCCAAGTCGGCCCAGAGAGGCCCCCAAGATCCCCCTAGACAGCCTCCGACGGCGTCAGACAGGCCAGGAGCCCTGAGACGCCCAGAGAGGCCCCCGAGAAGCCCCCAAAGGCCCCCGAGAGGCCCAAGGAGGCCCCCAAGATGCCAGGAAGCCCCCAGGAGGCCCCAAGACTGCCCCCAAAGGCTCCCAAGATGCCCCATCTTCTTCCTCCTCCTCCTCCTCCTCCTCCTCCTCCTCCCCCTCCTCCTCCTGCTCGTCTCCTTCTCTTCCTCCTCCTCCTCCTCCTGCTCCTCCTGATCTTCCCCGCAATCCTCCCCCAAGTGTTCCCTGAAGGGTTTCCACAATGGTTCGGGGAACACATGGTCCGATAGTTCGGCAGACCTCTTGCCACAACGCTCGGCCACATGGGCGATTTCAAAAAGGCAGGGGGCGGCGGTGACTCGCCGCAGGCCTCTTCGACTCCCACAGAGCCCCAACTCAGCTCTCCCCTCTAGAAAATTAGCCCCAACCGGCTCCCCTCTCCCCCTCTAGCCGGACGAAAGGCCCAACCAGATGCAGCTGCGAGAACCGCGAGGGAGATGAAACGAAGGAGGGGGGCACGCAAACCCCGAAAAACGCATGCGGCATACCCTCTGCTCTCATAGGCAGCGCGCCGCAGGAAGAACGAGGCGCGGGGCAGTGCGGGCAGGGGGGACGAATGGGTGGGACGTATGCGAACTTTCGGTGGAGCTCCCCATGGGCCATGAAGCGTGTGAGGGGTGTGCCGAACGAAATGGGCGGCGGGGCGGCATGCGAACGTCGCCACTGGGGCCGTCGGCGGAGCTCCCTATGGGGCTGCGAAACGTGAGAGGGGTGTGCCGACATGAGTCGGTCGGACGCATGCGAACGTTGCCACTGGGGCCTTAGATGGAGTTCCTCTGGGGCCTTCGGTGGAGCTCCCTATAGGGCCACGGAACGTGTGAGGGGTGCGCCGAAGTGGGTGTGGTAGACGCATGTGGCCACCCCCACTGGGGCCTTCGGTAGAGCTCCCTATGGGGCCACGAAGCGCTGTACTGTGTGGCGAACGCATGTGGCCACACCCACTGGGGTCTCAGGTGGAGCTCCCTATGGGGCCACGAAGCGCTGTACTGGGTGTGGCGGACGCATATGTCCACCCCCGCTGGGGCCTGCGGTGGAGCTCCCAATGGGGCCACGGAACGCTGTACTGGGTGCGGCGGACGCATGCCGGCACCTCCAATGGGAGCTCCCTATGGGGCCAGAAAACGCTGTACTGGGTGTGGCGGACGCATGCGGGCACCCCCACTGGGGCCTTCCGTAGAGCTCCCGATGGGGCCACGGAGCGCTGTACTGAGTGTGGCGGGCGCATGTGAGCACCCCCACCGGGGCCTTCCTCCAGCCCCTTTGGGGACACGAAACGCTGTACTGGGTGTGGCGGGCGCATACGGGCACCCCCACTGGGGCCTTTGGTGGAGGCCACGAAACGATGTAATGTGTGTGGCGGACGCATGTGGCCATACCCACTGGGGCCTTCGGTGGAGTTCCCTATGAGGCCACGAAGCGCTGTACTGAGTGTGGCGGCGGGCACCCCCACTGGGGCCTTGGTGGGGCTCCCTATGGGGCCACGAAACGTGTGAGGGGTGCGCCAAAATGAGGGGGTGACGGGAAGAGGGAGAAGGAGGGGGAGGAGGAAGAGAGGAGAGGAGAGGAGAGGAGAGGAGAGGAGAGGAGAGGAGAGGAGAGGAGAGGAGAGGAGAAGAGAGGAGAGGAGAGGAGAGGAGAGGAGAGGAGAGGAGAGGAGAGAAGAGAAGAGGAGAGGAGAGAGGCGAGGCGGGGCGAGGAGAGGAGAGGAGAGGAGGGGAGAGGAGAGG